GGCTAGAGACGAAACTTCACCTCCTCAGGCAAGAAATGGTGAGCTAGCTACCTCGCGGGTGAACCAAGAAAGTCCCCATATATATATAAAATTGCTTCCCTTCCCTGCTTCCTCAATATTTATTTTCTCTGCCACCTTATCAGTCATGTCGAAATACGTATAAACTTCTAGTTGGCATCAGTTACAGTCTGTTCAAAACCCCGGGCTCAGATTTTGACTTTATGGGGAAGGGGTGAGTATGCTGGTGAAAGAGCATCTCTGAGCATGTACAGAAAGATGTTCTTTCCCTCCCTTGGAGTCATCATAGTTAGAACTTGCAGTGAGAATACAGGCACCCACATCATAACATTATTGTCAGTTCAAGCTCAGATAAAAGGCTTTTCTTTTGAGAAACTGATCATGGAGGTTTTTTTTTTTTTAATTTCCTCCCTAGACTGCGAATGGTTACCTGCCTGGGGTGGGCAGAGGATGAAGGATGTTTTCAGGGTGTTCACTTAATGCACTTGATATTTCCAGAGCACAGCAGCCTGCAAAACAGTTATAGGAGCCGGTGGGTAGGCATGGCAACAGACTCCACTGCCATGGAAATGGGTGTGATGTTTCCAACTGAAATGCCAGGCCACATTGCACCTTTCCTTCTCCCCCTCCCGCCCCAACCCCAGCATTGCTGGATGTTTGGTGTTACTCTGAAAGAGTGGAATGAGGCAGACAGGAAACTCCCTTGTATCCTGTGTGTGCACGCTCGCACATGCATTCACTGCCGTCTGCCATTAGAAACGAGTTTGTATTTTTTTATTGGAATGATGCAAAAGCTTCTAGGTCTTGCCTCTCTCAGGGTTCATGTGAAGTTGGAGGCTGCCCAGATCCTAAGGAACATGCCTTTAAAATAAGGGAGGATCCCTCTAATGATTCGTTTGGCGCATGACTTATCATTGTCAGATCAGACTTCTGTCCAGTGCAAAATGGAAATATAAACTGTTCAAAGACAGAACTACTTCCTTAAATCTGATTTTTCCAAATGTATAGGGCGTGTCAGTGTTGATTATCATCTTTGCTTGTTGTTCATTTGTTTCCAACTCTTGATCCTAGAGATGAAATCTCCATCTCATCCCTTTTTTCTTCCCCCCCCTTTTGGGGGGGCCCATGCATTGCTCTCAAAGTCTTAGTTGGAGCCTGAATATAATCCCACATCTCTTTTAAATAACTATGCTAGTTCCTGGAATAGTTTTGATGTAATTATAAACAAAAGTGCCACCCACGGGTCATATGCAGAGTGTATTTCCTTCACTGTTTGAACTTCTGCAGCTTAATGGACAGCTCAGTAAGCTAGTGCCCATGATTTTTGGGTTGGTTTGTTTTTAAAGAAGTTACGGGATTACTGCACTGTTCACAATTTAGCTTTATAGAATATCTGCTTGGTATCCAGTAATTCAAGTGAGAGAGTAATTCAAGTAATTCATGCTTTGATAGGGACTTCTGAAAGTATTTGTGAATGACATATCTACTTTTGCAAACATCAGACTGACTGTTACCTGGAGGGGAAAAATTGGCTGCATCATTTTAAATGGAAAGCCATTTTATCATTTAAAAGGGAATGCAATCACGATTGTCAATTTAGAAATGTAGGCTTCTCATTGTGACAGTCCCCAGAGTTATGCCCCTAAGGAGCACCCAAAAATGCAAATAAAAACCAGTTCTAGCCATTCTTATCTTCACTGAGAACAGGTATTTTGCGAAAGCAATGAGTCTTAGTGGCCCACCAAAAACCTACCTAGGACATCACTTTGCCTTAGAACAAGAATATCTCACAAGAATATTCTCACTGCTGTGAGTATTGCAGCTAAACTCAGAAAGTTCAGGGAAACTGGAGGCTAGAAGGGGAAGTGTCCCATTGTCCCTGCACTGGGCTTTATAAGCCCTGGCTCCACTACTGCGCTGACCAGTTGCAATCTCTCCCTTGATTATTGTTAAAGTTAATATTTTTTTTGTTCAATCCACTGTAGATGGAAGGATGAGTAGCTACGTGTGTTGTTTGCTTTATATTTTGTTGGGGTGGAGCCACTAGCAGCATTTATGCATGGGGTTTAGCAGGGCCACCCCTCCTTCCTCAGCTTATTCAGCACGGCTGATTCAGTAAATCCCTTTCTCTGTGTTTGTATTGCACCTGAGAAGCATGCACAGAACAGCTGCGCCAGTCATTATGCAAACATGTCGAGAAAGAGGGAGAAAAAGAGAGAGGGGATAAGAATGTGTTCCATTGCAATTGTGGTTGCAAAATTTGCACTGTTTGGTTAGATGTTGTCAGACTAGGATGATGCACTGTTCCACTGTTGCAAGCAGTTCCTTGCATGCCACTTTGCAGACACATGTTGTGTCATGAATAAGGAGGGACTCGAGGCAGTAAAAGGTGGACATCTCTAGAGCTCAGGTACCTCTGAGCTGCTAATCACAGGGCTGTCCCATGACTTTCTGCTGGAGCACCAAATTGTGCCAACCCCCTCTGTCTTTTTAGATTCTTCCCAGAAATTATGATTGCTGTTGAATTTATGGTTGCTCTCGCTCACACGAACAGCACCAGTGTGGTGGTACATTTAGATACTGTAATTATGTGAAGTCAAGGCTATTGTATCCAAAACAACATGAGGTAGAGCCTCACCTTATTTTCTCCCTTGGAACAAAAATAGGATACTGTAATATTAAAGTAAAGAAATAACTACTGGTTGTGCTTTCCTGACATGCGGGATTTGCTGCTTAAATTGCCTTACACTGCCCAGCCATGGGGTAGTGTGAGGCACCTAAGGAAGATGGAAAATAAAAATGGATCCTACACCATTTAATCCAGGGGTACTTGCATGAAAGAAAGGGGTTTGCCCCAGTCCCGCAGACAAAACGCAGACCCGTTTGTTATGCAAACAAAATATGGTTGAGAGGTTGCTTGGGACAGATCCCAAATCCAGAAGCCCCATTTGTTCATGGAATTCTGAACAAGATCCACTGTTCTTGAACTACAATAGGAATCTGAAGCCCTGCACAGCTAAAGTCATGAAAACCCCTTTCTCTCCCCTTTTTTAAGATGCAGTTCTGAATTTAATGTTAGCATTTCCTTTTCCTCTCCCATTCAACACAGCTGAGTCTTGACTATGGCCATTAGGATGCTTTTAAAATGAAGCTTCCATGTTCATTGGTATTTTATCTCTGAATACAGATGCAAGAGTGATTGAGAGTGGCGATCGTGACTGACTGGCAGTTTACAAAGAGCGTTTGCTTGGCCACCATGGGAATCAGGACAATAGTCCAACCCTAGTGTGTTCTGATGTAGGCCAAGAGTGCAATACTGTATATACAGTAGGACTGCAGTATCTGTGAGAGGTCTGTTCTAAGCTCTCCCCCCTCTCCAGAGATATCGAAAACGCAGAAGTATTGAAAGTTATACAGTCAACCCTTGACTTGCGAACAGCCCGCGTTATGAACATTTTGACTTACAAACCGCTCTCATACGAAAATATTGACTTGACTTACGAACTTAAATTTGAGTTACGAACTGAAAAAAACACGTGGGAGGTGGGGAAAGTGCGTAATTTGAACTTTCAGTTAACCGTTGGCCAGAGAAGAGGGTGCCTCTGCTTCCTCGCTCTTCCCAGCGTTTACAGAGTGGATTGGGAGACAGTCTTCAGACTGCCTGGTACTGTATTTTTATTTTTGGCTATTTTTGGATTTTTGCTTTTTGCTTTTTGACATTCTTTTTTTAAGCAGAGCGACTGCCTGTTCTGGGTGAGTACACTGTATGTTTTACTGTATGTACTGTACAGTGGGGTCTTGACTTGAGAACTTAATCCGTATTGGAAGGCGGTTCTCAAGTCAAAAAGTCTGTAAGTCAAGTCTCCATTGACCTACAGTGCATTGAAAACCGATTAATCCCGTAACAGGCCGTTTTTGTTTCATGTTGGTTTTTTTCTGGTCTGTAAGTCAAATCTCAGTCTGCAAGTCAAGCCTAAATTTTGTGGCCAGAGAAGTCTGTAACTCAAAAAGTCTGTAAGTCAAGCCGTCTGTAAGTCAAGGGTCCACTGTACAGGGTTTTTTGCAGTTTGATGGGGGGGTAGGGCTAGGTGAGGGGGTCTTGCAGTGTTTTAAAATGTCTGTGCCTGTGGTTAAAATATTCTTTGAGTGCATGTGCTGTTTGTTCAGGAAGGCAGGCATTTTTGCGCTGGAGGAATGGTTGCTGGATTGCTATGCCTTGCTGTGGGGGGGGGGGTATGTTTCTGTGCTCTTATGGGTCTTGCATTGTTTTAGAATGTCTGTGCCTGTGCTTAAAATGTTGGATCAGAGTCTTTTTGTGCTGGAGGAATGGTTTCTGGGTTCTGTGCCATGCTGTGGGGGGGGGATTACCCCCCCTTGACCTAAGAACGGATTAATTGGTTTTCAGTGCATTCCTACGGGAAATGCTGATTTGACTTACAAACTTTCCAACTTACAAACTTCCTTCCGGAATGGATTAAGTTTGTAAGTCAAGGGTTGACTGTACATTTCATGGTCTCTTGCTCCTTCTAATGGCAAGTTTTGGTAAATACACCCTAGAAATGCCTATAAATACTGTATGTATTTCTGGAGGGTTTTTTATTAAGTATTTTCAGACAGCAGATAAGTGAATTGTGGTCCTGCTGTCCACCACCCTTCCTACAGGGATGTGTGCATAGGAAAAAGATAGCCACCTTCCTTCTTTCTTGAAAGGGGATATCAAACAATATTCTCATGGCCCCATCCAGCTCAATATTGTCATGCCTAATGGGCAGAAGGTCTCCAGAGTTTGGGGCATGATTTTTTCCCAGCCCTAGATGGGGATGTTCTAGATATTCCAGGGATTAAACAGTGTGATTTGCCATTGAGCTTCAGTTGCTCGCCACTGCCACCATGCAAGCACTGCTGCCTCTTAGATCTTTGAAAGTTTTGCTACGTAGTGTCTGTATTCTAACGCGTGCTGCCTCTTAGATCTTTGAAAGTTTTGCCACGTAGTGTCTGTATTCTAACTCATATGTCTGAA